CCACAGACCGGAGGGTGAGCGGTTTTGTGTGCTGCCTACATCCCGCAGATGGGACTTTGCTTGTTTGCGGGGACCGGTTCCTGGCATGCTGCCGCTCGGTACTGGTCCATGGACTGGGCATTGGGGACCCCTGGTCTAAGGGCAAACAAGTTCCTGCATGAACGTACATTATCTAAACTACACTAAGTGGAGCAGATTTATATCTGTCAAGCAAATAATTCCAGGTTGGCAAAATTCTAAAACCTACTTCAAAAATGTAATTTTTCTAAGTCATAGTTCTCCAAATGTGATAATGTACAAACATAGATACAATTCAAATAGAGAATCAGAGACTTGTCCTTACAGGATGATTTGTTTGTTTGTTTGTTTGTTTGTTTGTTTATTTATTTATGAGACTTATATACCGCTTTAAGTGCAAGCACTCTCTAAGCGGTGTACACCAGTAAGCAATGTATATATATATATATATTACATTGCCCCCAACAATCTGGGTCCTCATTTTACCTACCTCGGAAGGATGGAAGGCTGAGTCAACCTTGAGCCGGTGAGATTTGAACCGCTGACCTGCTGAACACAGTCAGCTAAAGTGGCCTGCAGTACTGCACTCTAACTGCTGCGCCACCTGTTCTCCTTGAAGGAGACAAAGCTAAACTTTTGATAAAAGATAAAAAACCAGAGACTAAAGTATAGCTTTCTTTATTAGATACATCTCACTTATGAAACTTGTATACAACAGCTATATTACAGAAGAAAAATTCCACAGCTCTTTATCACTTATCTTTTTAACCAGTATAATATGAAGTAGGTAGAAGATCTCCCATATAACTCCATTTGATTATCCATTTATTCAAAAGATACTTTCAAGATAGATTGAAGTCCCATATAAATTGATCTCCATTTCAGAAAACTGACTGGGTTTTTTTTCGATTGAGTATCCAGGATGGTTAAGAGAATGGCTACCTTTCTTTTTAGGGTCTTTCGGTTTCATGTGAAGATTTAGTTTACTAAATACTATCTTTGATTTTGTATTGTTTACCTCTGTATTACATTATAAATGTTATTATTTATAGCACTGCTTTATTAATATGTTTTAATTAGGATCTGTTTTACAATGGAGAAGATAATCAGTTTTTGTGAGGGTTTGTGGACAAAGAAATAAATTGGTTGCTTGCTTTACTTTTCTCTCCCTGGCTTTCTAAATCTATACAGCATAACAAAAATGGGGAAGCTGTGGCCTTGCTTTAGATATCAATTCCTGTGAACTTCAGTCAGCATAATGGAACCATAGTCTAACACCTTCTGGAAGAAATATGTTCTTTATTCCATTGTACTGGATGCACCTGCAAACACCATTTATTTAACATATGCATGCAGAGGATCAGCAAATTATTTTGATAATTCTCTTTACACTATTTGTTCCAACCCAAATAATTTTAGGTCCTTAACCTAGGATTGGCTGGGCTTACAAGACATGGATCAACAAGCTAGCAGACTATATTGTAGCCTAAAAATATTGTGTGAATTTAGCACAGGTTGCATAATTTATGGCTCAAATGTATTCTGGGATTCACAGTTAAGATTGTGTGCAGACATATTCAATAGCAGGTATATGTGAGGGACTAGGGATCAATGGCTTCATTTGTTCATGAATTGTCCTCAAAATTTCTAGAATAAAAGAAAAAAACAAATCTTAGACAGCAGAGCTGAGAGAAATCTCTGCCAGGCAAGCAACTTTAGATAAAACAGATAATTTTCCCGATCTATCATTGATTGTGTCCATCCAACATGCTTACCCATACCTAACCTAATCATGATTTATTTAAAAACCCTATTTTATTAACACAGCATACTGAGTAATTAGCAGCTTCCTCAAATACAAGGATTACCAATCACTGCATAACTAACCAGCCACATGGCTAAAACTGCACAACACATAATTCTAAAATGTGGCTAGGTAGTTTCTGTTGCAGTGTATTCTGCAACAAAAGCTAATGGAACTGGAGGTTTTTTTAAATGTAGCTTTGGTGAAAATCACATTTAGTATTTCTTAGTTTTACCATGAGAGTAGCAATGTATAACAGCAGATACTATCCTCACATCACACATAACAGGTTGCAACTCTTGTTCACAGAGGTTTTAGAAGCAGAGGACCCCTCTTATCTTGTCAATTGGGATCAACAATGCACACCAGATGGCACTAAAGGTGCCATGATCTTAAAGTCTGTGTTGCATGAATTCATATGCAGTGTCTATTTTAAATAATTCAGTATACCAGGGTTATTAGACAGTTTTATTTTCTAGCTGCTGTGTTGAGAGGGCGACCTTAAATTCCATCTCCTCATATCAATAAATGTAATGGAAATTTATAAACCACTTCTGCACATTGGCATAGTTTTATTCCCATTTTATAGATTTTAGGATAAAGCTGTCGTTTGGCGTTCTGTGCAAACTCAAGCAGTGAATTCAGTAATCCATTTTGAAATAAACCACAGGGTTGGTAAATTGTGCAAAAATAGCCTGTGTTTTTAATTTGGTGTATAATCATGGAAGATACAATTTAATACAATTCTATCACAAAACTTGTTTAAATGAGCCATTCAATAGAACAGAGATAACTTTCCAGATGCAGCTAAACTACACCTCCCAGCATCCTTCATCTTAGACACATTTGAAGAAGGCTGCTGGGAGTTTTTGTTCAGCTGCAGTTTTGATTTGAGCTGTCTCTGAAGTACAGATGAAGGCTTGATTTTTCCCCTATTTAATGAACTGATCTCACTGAAATTATTGCTCTACCCACAAACATCTCTGGATTTATTTCTTCCAATTGCTTGGGATATACCTTCATTTGTATGGTTTAACTTAATCAGGTATGTGTGTTTTGACACATGGATAGTGAATTTCTAATACTATGACTTGAAAATATGTCAATATCTTCAAAAAAATATATAGGAAACTGCCACCTACCAGATCAGACCATAGAGCCATCAGGTCAGATCATAGAGACATCTATTTTAATGCCACCCCCTCTGTCTTACAAGACCTTTCTGCCAGAGGTCTTTCCCAACAACTGCTGCTATTGGATCCTTTTTGCCTGGCAATGCCACACCAAACCTCAAGCTTTCAGTACGGTATGCCCCACATCTTTTCTGCCCCAAAGTCCAGGGGTTTTATTTATTTAGGAATCGAATCTGCTTTGTTCCAGGAATGACCTACAAAATATGCCTACATGCATTTGCATTATCCTAAACTTACAGATGTCACACTAGCCCACCATGTACCTATCAAGATTAAGGGATTTACAGTAGTTTTTCACAGGTTAGTATGGTCAGCATCACTAAAAACTGGATAGTTCTGCTTGTTAATACTGACAGTTAACCACAATATTTGTGCTCATATAGGACAAACTTATGTTTTTCTTAGATAACTCAGGTTTCTGGGTTTGAATTGTATGCGATGTAATAAACACATCAGTTAGATTAAATTGTGGTTGCTTGGTTTGTATATAAAGTTGTGCAATGAAGGGTAAAAATTCCCCAGGACCTAATTTACAGAATGGAGACCACAAATCTGCTTGAACAACACTGGGGACAAACAACAATATCCCCCCCCCCTTAAAGAAGGTTCAAATAATCTTTGTATTTATTATACTTCTGTATAACAAATGCTGACCAGTAGTGATGTCACCTGCCAATCATCTTATTTTTGATCTCATGGGCTAGATTTTCTGGTTACATGTATACTGATAATACACAATTAATAAAATGAGGCTGGTATGAGTCAGCTTTTGTGATTACGTATACCTAGTTTCCATCTGAAAATACAAATGCCAATTTAAGCTAACTTGTAAGCCAGCATCTATAAATGCCTAAGAAAACTGTAAAGAAGGCTTACTTGAATTCAGTAATCATGTTAGTTTAGAGATCTTGGTTCAGGCATTTGTTTCACTTTTTCAATTCTCCCCTTTGAAGCTGGAATTGGGAACTGATTCTAAGCTTCAAAGTCCTCATATAAGGATAATGGGCACCATGGGCACACAATCACCCACCTCATCAGAAGTAAATAGAAAAGCATAGATTGGTGGTGGCAACAGTCGAGCGTACAAGTTTTGTTTTGAAAGTGGTTTGTTGTTGTTTTTTTTACTCCTTCAGCAACCCTAATCAACCAAAGTTGTTACCGTGCAACACTGAAATGTAAACACTCAAATTTGGGCCTGCAATCCACTCTGGAGTTCCTTGCTGGATACATCGAAAATGCTTAACCAGATTCTCCAGCAAGGGTATCTGTATAGTCAAAGCAGTCAAGATGGCGTGATGATCCAATGAAAACTCTGCCTGTGACACACATACAAAAATGAGTCAAGCTTTGTCCCATCGCAGGCACCATCTTGATTTTTTTTTTAACTATACTCTGGAATGCCTTCTAAGTGTAGTCAGGTGTGACCTATTCCTTGTGAGCATTTACCTTGATTGACTCCTACCTACAATTCCATTATTCTCCCTGCTTCTTCCCATTTTTCATAATTCTGGAGGGGCTGGAAACTCCCCAACCCAAACATTTGGGAATTAAGCAAATCTGAAAAGCAGTCATTTGGGAAGGCTACGTGGAAAAAGGTGTTTCCTATAAGTCCCCTCAGACCTGTGTACCTTTTTCTTCACGATACCATAATGCCTGATGTTTTATACCGCAGTTCTTCCTCCTTTTGTTATTAATTTTCCAGGACCTTATATAAAGTCCTGCTTGATATCATCTGCAGTTTCATCCTGAAATATTCCCTTACTACCCAATTTATTCAAATTCTTCAAATCTAGCTTCCTTGCACGTTTGCGGATCCATCCAAGGTATTCCTTCTTTCCAGACTCAAGTTCTCTCTTGCCTGCTCCCTTTCAAAACTCCGTTCCGGGTTTTCGCCCTTACGTGATGTATTGTGAACGCCTCCCAGGTGTATCCGTCACTTCTGGAATCCGCTCCGATTTTTCCCTCCCGCCTTCCCAGCCCTGAATAGCACCGGCTGGCTTGCCGTTGCCTCCCGGTCCTTAGGGAGCAAAGCTAGCAGTTCGCTTCTTCGTCAAGCACCCCCGGCTAGTAGTCCCGGGCTCTGTGGCTGAGGGTCTCGCGCAGGGGCTCGTGAGGGATTCGCGCGCTCGCTGCCGTCGATCGCCTCCGGCCTAGCCCCCTCCCCTTTCTTCCCCCTTCAGTCACCTTCCTTTCGCATCTACTTCCCCCTCTCGCCTTGCCCGAGCAGGTCCGCCGGGAGGGGGCGTCCACTGCAAGAAGAGAAAGGGGAAGAGTGTTTTGCCTCGGGGAAGGCAGCGGGCAGCTGGAGCCCTCAGTCCACGGGGAGACACGGGGGGGAGGGAAGCTGCTCGGAAGCTAGCGATGGCGAGGCCAGAGCTGTGCCCGGCCGCCTAGAGCCCCAAGCCCCCCCCCCCGCCCGATCTCTTCGCGGTGGGTGCTCGTGGGGAGCGCGCGCGTGCTTGTTTGTGTGCACTGTGGCGGGGGAGTGGAGGAGAGACGGGCAGAGCAGGCAGACAGAGCCCCCACCCCGCCGCCGTCGCCTGCGCTCGCGCGTGTGAGTGTGTGTGTGATAGGGGGGTGGATCTTGGTTCGCTTGCCTCCACCGACTCCCAAAATGCCCAGGCTGCTTCATACAGATGGCTATATTTCAAGGTTTCCTTTGGCAGAGCTAGGCGAGGTGCAGCGCCTTGTGGAGGCGTCCGCCAGTGACATCTCCTCGGACGAAGGGGGGCTTTGATTTGGTCCTTCTCTCCCTCCTTCCTCCCTCCTTCCTCCCATCTGCTATTTTCCGAGGGGGCGGCTGCAAACAAACAACAATAATAATAATAATAGGGACATAGTCGATTGATAAGAGACGCCCCCTTCTCTTTCTTTCTCGCCCGCCCCATTTAACTCGCCGGCCCACCGGGGGCAAAAATAACCCGAAATCCGGACGCGTCGTTCTCAGTGTGTGTGCTCTCCCTCCCTCCCTCCCCCCCCTTCTCTGAAATTGACGCCCCAAGGGGGAGCGATCGGAAGAAGATCGAGATCACGCATCCGATTGCCTCGCGTTTCCTAATATCTGCGGGGGCTCGAGCCCTGCCATTCCGGCGGCAGGATGGATTAGAGATCTCTGAATGGAGGAACCCGAGAGGACTGGATCGCAGAAGGTAAGGGGAGCGAGGCTTGCTTTCGCGGGTGGGGAGGAGGAGGGGGGGGTTCGCGCGGGATCGATGTGTTGGTGGAAATTGCACTGCCGAATTGTACCTCTCCCCTCGGTTCATCGGCGGCTCCGTTGGCCTCGAACACCTGGAGAAATCGGATGGATGGCGAGTCTATTTGCAAGAGGGCGCTGGTAGTTTTTGGCAAGACGACGGTGGTGGTGGTGGTGGTGATTGTTATTATGAGGGAGAAAATGGGGTATTATCATCGTCATTACCTTAGCTTTCCTCTGGCTCTCTCTGCCCCCCACCCTCCCCTTTGGATACTGCTGGACCTGATGTTTGATAAGCGTCTCTCATGAACTGGCTTGCTTTGCGCCGGGAGACTTGAACGGGGGAGAGGGGGGGTGTTGCTGCCTGAACTATGAGGCTGGGAGGAAGGGACCATTTCCTCCCCCCTTCCCTCTATTCCCCCCCCCGCTTCATTTTCTCTGGAGGTTTGCGATCTAGTCAGGGGTTTTGCTAGTGAGGGTCCTTTTCGCCTACGGGTGAGGCGGCCGCCTATCCTCCGTTCGGTTTCTGTGGTGCCCAAGACAAAGCCCTCTGCACAAAAAATTACCCTGCTCCCCGTCGCCGGTACTGCGGTATTTCCTCCCCCTCGATTTTGTATATATGTTTGGGGGGGGGGGAGAGAAGAGGAAAGGAAATTGCCGTCAAAATACCGTAATGCACAAAGAGGAGGGTAGGGCAGTTTCTGGCGATCTTTTCTCTCTAGGCTTATTCTTCTCTTCCCCGCAGCCCGTCTCCGGGCTTATTTTGCTGCAGGGGGTAGGAAAGGGACCCGGAACCTGGTTAGTATCGCGGCAACGCTCCGTTTCTTGTAATTATCACCCTCCCCGCCCCAAATTTCTCTGATACGTGTCTATATGCAACAGCCGGGTTTTAAAGGAAGAGGAGGTGGCGGGCATACACACGCGCGCGAATCTCTCCCCCCCCCTCTCCACACGTACAGTTTCAAGATGGGGAGGAGAAGGATGCAGGCAGAATGGTTAATTGGGAATGTTAATTGGGGGGGCGCGCATGGGTTTGTTGTGATGGAGCTATGCCACCCACTCCCCTCAGTGCCTACCCCACCTTCAATGCATTGCTCTAGGGGTAAGTGAATGTGCCCCTTACTTCACCTTAGGCCAGGCCTTCCCTATGGCCGTCAAAGGGTTCCTGAGCTGAAAATATGGCTGTGAATCTAATTCCGTAGCAGTGGGGCCTGAATCTTGATCTGTCCACAGAAAGGTTTTCAGTGAATGGTGGATGTGAATGCCACACGCTTGTGCACGCGCGCCCGCGCGCACACACACACACACAAACACACATATTTTGGTATCTTGTATAATATCTCCTAATTCTCTCTGCCTCATAAGAAAAAAAGGCTGGCGAAGAATTTGGGGGGCAGATGGGCTATCTGGAAGAAACTTGGATTAAAATTATTGCATCCGCTCTAGTCTATTTTTCCCCCTTCCCCCACCCCTCTTCAATTAGCTGACAACCATGATTATTAGACTTGCACTGATTTTAGGATGGGAGTGGAGATGGGATCAAATTATCTCTGCCCCCCCTTCCCCCATCATTATTCCCAAAATTAGGTTGACAGAGATGGTAGATTGATTGCTGCAACACAGTTTGATTTAAAATTCTTCACAGGGCTGAGAGGTAGAAGGAGAGTAGATTCAGTTTTACTGTGCCCTGAGTTCTTCCCTAATTTGGTGAATATAGAGGCTGTGGAATTGTAATTATTAATGTTTTTTAAGTGTTGGAAAATGAATTGATTGGGAAAAGGGGCTGTGTGTGTTTCTGTGTTTGGGAGGGACTGGCTAGAATGATTGGTAAATGGTAAAAGGGTGAATACAAATGTCAATAAACCAAAAGAAATGTAGATAAAGGGGTAACGGAAGCTCAGAAAAAGAAATGGTTAGAAATCATGCTTTCTTCGCCTCCCTCTCCAAATTTATTATGCATAAACCTCTCTCCCATTCCCCAATTTCCTGTGGTAGCTTTCTGCTTTCCGTTGCAATTGAATAGTCTACCTCCCTCCCCAACACTTGTGAACCATAAATGTCTTTTCTCAGCATTGACTTGGTTTGCTTGGCAAAGGTGAGGAAACTGAAAGGTGTCAAACAATAGTTCATTGGGGGATATCAGCAGCCCACAAGGATTGTTAAAAGGGAAAGTTGGCACCAGGAAGCAGAAGCTGGCCTTTTCTGAAATTTCCAAGTTGGGGAGATAAGATAAAGGGATAAGGAGAATATCTTCGGTTAAATATCTTCATTCTGCCCTGAATCCTCTCTAGCTCTCTTCTCCCCTATGCCTGTCCAGTCTAACCCTTACTGCCCATGCTTGCCTCCTATTACTTGGAAGACTCATTATCTTGGAAGATAATGTAGAGCCTCGTTACCACCTTTTTGATATATCAGATTGTACCCAGTACCCACCCATCTGTGCTTGAGGGAGTGTTGTTGTGGGGCACCAGTCCATTCCTGTTGGAGCATTTTTGCAAGGTAGGGGGAGGAGAAGGCAGAGCAAAGCAAAGCAAGTGTGGCTTTAACAATTTCATAGAAGATCTGCAGCAGCAAAACCAAAGGCAGTATATACTATAAACAATGAGAATTTAAACCTTTTCTTTTTTTCTAGAACAAGAATAACAATGGTTTATAGTCTCAGTGCTGAGGCAGGAATATCATCTGTTTAATAAGATTAGGAAGATTTGTGGGGAAAAACCTTCTGGGATCCATTACTATTGAATCTACTGCTATTGAACACTGTTGCCTTTGGATCCCACTATTCAGTTTAATAACTGGGTGCCTAGGCAGTTCTTCCTGGATGTTCTTCTTTGTAAATTGGGTGTGTTTCACACAGCTGAGGTTGTTCAGAATTAATGTTACAAGGGTCAAACAGTGTTCATTAATTACAACCATGAATTCCATGGAATTTTGTTGTAAGAACATACAATCTTTCATATTAAGCTTGCTTATGGGTCAGGTAAACCACAGTGGCAAAATGTGGGATTGGGATTCTCTGGCTGTGTTTGCACCAGCTAAAGCAGGAGTGTCAAACTGCCGGCCCGCGGGCCAGATGCATCATGCCAAAACCGCACCCACCCCAACTCCGGCAATGGGGATAAAGTCGTGATATGTCACGACACATCACATGACATTGCGAGTTTGATACCCCTGAACTAAAGGATACAGCCATTCCTTCCTCAGTTAATAATTAATTGTTCCATTCCAGTACCATATAATGCTGAGAGCAGAATCTGTTACCTCAAATTGTAGGACCTGCATTTTCTTCATTTGAATAGCGATGTGAGAGACAGAAAATATAGCCCATCAATTCATTAGATTTGATAAGGCCTAAATAACATAAAGAAGACCCCACAGAGAAGACCTGAACCAAAAAGTCTCTAACTAGGATGGTTTCATAATGCAAGAGAAGTAATTGTAATCTGCTGAGCTGTTGCAATTTGCGCAATATGAATTTGCAAAGTAGATATTTTTATAAGTATATTTGGAACAAGAACATTGTAACCGTGGGAAATAGGGAACTGAAAGTAGCAGGTGGGTGGAGGTTTCAAATGTACACGGGTGTTTGTGGAAAGTAATGGTCAGCAAGAAAGAACAAGGAACTGATTTCATAAATGTTGCAAGATAATGTCCATCTGTGAGTGGCCGTTAGGAAAAGGATATAAAAGGTAGAGCTCAAGATCAGCTCATGGCCACTGGCCTAAAGCTGTCCTTATTGGAAATGCTATGTCACTGGACCTCATTGCAATGGGTTACTATGTAAGGGATGTTGTGTTATTATGTTTGCTATGTTCCAAATTATTAGCAAAATAAACCTCTGAATCTTAAAGTAAGAATTATTGTTTTCTGTTGCTGTCTCTTGTCTTTTTCATTGGGTTTCTCCACGACAGTGAGTTTTTTTTCAACTCAGGGATATGTTGAATGCATACATTCCTGAAGTGAGATGCAAGACATGGAGATCTGGCTGATATGACCTCTTCCTCCAAACAACTGCATCTGCTGCCTTTCTGACTTTTGGGACCTCCAGATTTGTTGCACCTATGAAACATTTATGGCATAAGCAAGCTTAGGAGTTTTGGAAGCAATTCTTAGGAGTTTTGTGCAAGTAGATCAAGACCCCTGCTTGGTTTCATTTTCCATGAATCAATAAAGATGGATTTCCTGGTGGATGTAAATTGGCATTATTTTCTTTGAACGCAGGGGCGCTATGCTCCTTAACACCAACTGGAGGTATGCCTCCTTTTGCCAAACATATTTGTCCTATGGCTCTTTTGGTACATGTACATTCTGTGGCAGATTCTTCACTTATATGAGCCTTTTTTAAAAAAATAATCCTATCTTCTGAAATTCACCAGCCGCAGCAGAAAAAATGCCTCTGAGCAGAGAGCTTTTCAATCAAATCTAAATCAACATTTCTCAGCATAGCTGCAACCTTGCCTTAGACATCTCCACAGCTCCTAAGCTCAAGGGGGTCTTGGATGTCTGTATCCATGTCCCTCTGTACCCAGAACCACTAATGACTGGGGAAAAAAAAACCTTTCTTATGTGGGATCCAAATTTCAACAGAATTCGGCCATTTGCCAGCTATTGAGTGCTTGGTTGGAGTTAAAAAGCCTTGATTTTCCAAAAGAGATGGGAAGGCAGTTGTGTATCTAAGGATTTGTGTGCAAGCTAACCACTAGTTTTGGCTGGTGGGGGGGGGAGGGAGAACATTTTAAAATGTATTTACTCTCTATGTATGGTAGAGAGATGTCTGTCTGGAGAGTGTCAGTGTCCTCTTAGTTTATATATACAGTTCTTTAAAAATGCTGTATTTAAGAAGTCAAGAAATGGGTAGCTGTGTTACCTGTTCCTTCTTTGAGAGAGGGGATATTTCCCTAGAGGCTCGCTATGTAGTGCTGAATATATTAGTGTTCTGTCATCTGTGCTCTGAGC